CAGTATTCTGGCCTGGAGAATTCCATGGACTATACAGTCCATGGGGTTGCAGATAGTCAGACATGACTGAGTGACTTTCACTTTCACTTTTCTAGGTTCTCTGGCTGGTCTAATAATCATATTGACGTAAGACAGATTAACAAGAGAACAATAAGTTTAATTACCTACCTACCTACCAGGACTCCACAAGGGCAGTGATAACCCAAGAACAAGTCAGGCAGTTGAGACTTTAATGCTGTTTTGAACTAAAGAATGGGATAGGGTTCTGGGCCTTGAAAGGGGAAGAGGGTGCTTGGCAGGACGATAAGAAGAGCAGACATATAGTAATTACATGTTTGTCCTGCCATAACGTAGGTCATTAAAATAAAAAATTATCTCTGGGCAATAATGCTCTTTCTGGGCCACACCTCGTATCTAAATTCTTCCAGATAGTGAAGGGAGAGGTAAAAGTTTGTTTTGGGTCTGCTGAATATGGTTTGTGTTGCCAAAAACTGGTCTTTGTTCACCAATGCCAATGGAAATATGGCAACGGAGTTTTGGAGGAGCAGAAAGGTGTAGTTCTATTACTTTGCCAGGTAAAGAGTGCCACTGCAAACAAAGCTAGTGGAGGTGATGGAATTCCACTTGAGCTATTTCACATCTTAAAAGGTGATGCTGTGAAAGTGCTGCACTCAATATGCCAGCAAATTGGGAAAACTCAGCAGTGGCCACAAGACTGGAAAAGGTCAGCTTTCATTCCAATCCCCAAGAAAGGCAACGCCAAAGAATGCTCACTGTGACACAGTCTGTACTCATCTCACACGCTAGTGATGCTCAGAGTTCTCTGGGCCAGGCTTCAGCCGTACCTGAACTATGAACTTCCAGATGTTGAAGCTGGATTTAGAAAAGGCAGAGGAACCAGACATCAATCTACCAACATCTGTTGGATCATTGAAAAAGCAAGAAAGTTACAGAAAATCATTTACTTCTGCTTTATTGACTACACCAAAGCCTTTGACTCTGTGGATCACAACAAACTGGAAAATTCTTCAAGAGATGGAACACCAGACCTCCTGAGAAATCTGTATGCAGGTCAAGAAGCCACAGTTAGAACTGGACATGCAACAACAGAGTGGTTCCAAATAGGAAAAGGAGTATGTCAAGGCTGTATATTGTCATCCTGCTTATTTAACTTATATGCAGAGTGCGTCATGAGAAATGCTGTGCTGGATGAAGCACAAGCTGGAATCAAGATTGCTGGGAGAAATATCAATAACCTCAGATATGCAGATGACAGCACTGTTATGGCAGAAAGTGAAGAAGAACTAAAGAGCCTCTTGATGAAAGTGAAAGAGGAGAGTGAAAATGTTGGCTTAAAACTCAACATTCAGATAACTAAGGTCATGGCATCTGGTCACATCGCTTCATGGCAAATAGATGGGGAAACAGTGGATACAATGACAGACTTTATTTTGGGCAGCTCCAAAATTACTGCATATGGTGACTGCAGCCATGAAATTAAAAGACGCTTACTCCTTGGAAGAAAAGTTTTGTCCAACCTAGACAGCATATTGGAAAACAGAGACATTGCCAAGTGCTGTCTAGTAAAAGCTATGGTTTTCCAATAGTCAAGTATGGATGTAAGAGTTGGACTATAAAGAAAGCTGAGTGCCGAAGAACTGATGCTTTTGAACTGTGGTGTTGGAGAAGACTCTCAAGAGTCCCTTGGGCTGCAAAGAGATCCAACCCGTCCATCCTAAAGGAAATCAGGCCTGAATATTCATTGGAAGGACTGATGCTAAAGCTGAAACTCCAATCCTTTGGCCACCTGATGTGAAGAACTGACTCATTTGAAAAGACCCTGATGCTGGGAAAGATTGAAGATGGGAGGAGAAGGGGACGACAGAGGATGAGATAGTTGGATGGCATCACAGGCTCAATGGACAGGAGTTTGAGTAAACTCTGGGATTTGGTGAAGGGCAAGGAAGCCTGGTGTGGTGCAGTCCATGGGGTCACAAAGGGTCAGACAGGACTGAGCGACTGAACTGAAAGAGTGCCACAGCCAGCTAATGCTCTCAAGACTCTGACCCCCTTCCAGAAGAAGTCTAATCCTTTTAAGATGGAAAATAGGACAGAAGATAAGGATGTGGTTGATCTTCTCTCACTGGGGGCCTTGAGATCATCAGGGCTGGTGTCAGGTGATTCCAGAACAGGTTCCAGTGGTCTTTGAGGTCATCCTCAGGTGACATTGGAGAAGGCAATGGCAACCCACTCCAGTCCTCTTGCCTGGAAACTCCCATGGACGGAGGAGCCTGTTAGGCTACAGCCCATGGGGTCGCAAAGAGTCGGACATGACTGAGCGACTTCACTTCACTTCAGGTGACATTCTTTCTGGAATGAAGGATGCTCCCAAAGGAAAAGGGTGTTAGGGAGTGTTGTCTTGGAGGGGTGAGCATCAGGTGTATAGTATGATCTTAGCTAGAGAGCAGTTGTTTTCAGAGTACAATTAAGCCAGAAACAGAAGGAAAACAAAGATTTGTAGGTTGAATGGATGGAATGAATAAGGGTTGAATAAAGGCTAACATGGGGCTTCCCTGGTAGCTCAGCTGGTAAAGAATCTGCCTGCAATGTGGGAGACCTGGGTTTGATCCCTGGGTTGGGAAGGTCCCTTGGAGGAAGGCATGGCAACCCACTCCAGTAATCTTGTCTGGAGAATCCCCATGGACAGAGGAGTCTGGTGAGCTACAGTCCATGGGGTCACAGAGTCAGACACGATTGAGCGACTGTGCGTAGCACAAGGGCTAACATAATGGGAAGCCTCAGGTAGTTTCTGCCTTAGCAGTTGTCCTCAGCTTAAAGTACCATGCCAAAGTGATACATTTTGGGGAGGCTTATTCAGGACCTCTTCACTCTTATGAGTCATTTTGTTTGAATAGAGAGAGATGTGTCTGCCATCTGGAATGGACTTAATAGATAGTGAAATCCATTCGGCATCAGCAAACTCAAATCTAGTTGTGACCTGTTAATAGATTTCCACAACTTGAATGTATAAACTCACATCTTTGTTTCAGAACATCATTTTAGATGTTTTATATCTTAATTACAAAGCCAGTGTTTTTATTTATATAATTTATTGCATGAGATTCATTAATAACCTAGTTATGATAGCTTTTGTTTATATATGGGCTTCCCAGGTGGCACTAGTGGTGAAGAATCAGCCTGCCAGTGCAGGAGACACAAGAGATGCTAGTTTGATCCCTGGGTTGGGAAGATCCCCTCGAGTAGGAAGTGGCAACCTACTCATACTCTAATATATTGAAAAATGATTTCATGATGATATTTGGAAGAAACTGTGGTTTTGTATAACAGTGGAATAACAGCAATATGATTCTTGAGAAAAATATTGATGAGATTAATTACAGAATTGTTTCTGTGAGAGCTGGTTATGTCTTTTTTGGAGAAGAAAATGGCAACCCACTCCAGTATTCTTGCCTGGTTATGTCTTTACAAGGGTTATGTGCCTGGAAATCAAACTATTATAATTTTTCAAATATGTTTGAGAACACTACAGTAAACACTGTACACACACCATTACTTTTGCTTGTGGGATAAATGCATTTCTCTTACAACAATCAAATGCTACCTGGTTATTTTGTTTTTTTAATTTATGTTTTATAGTTACAGATCTGTTTTTAGACTTTTTTACTGTTTCATGACATGCTTTGCTATTTTAAATCCATATGCACTAAGAACCGCTATTTTTAATTTTCTGCATCAAGTGTCATCCTAAGATCTACTAAATGGCTTAAGATCCTAAAATCATTTGAAAAAAATGTTTGAGAAGAGCTGGAGACGGAGGAGGAGGCGGCGGCGGAGGCGGCGGCGGAGGCGGGGCGACTCCGGTGACCGGGAGCGCCGCAGACTGGCAGCTGCGGCGACTCCCCCCTTTTGTGTCTGGTCTGCTCGGAGCCTCTGGAAGTGCTTCCCGGAGGGGCGCGGGCTATCTCGCCGCCTCGCTGCCCACCCCCCTCCCTAGCCACCTACATCCGCCCTCCCGCCGCCCCCCGCCCTCGGCCCGCGACACCCGAGCTCCGCCCGGAGCCTAGAGCTGCGGGAAAACGAGGCGGCGGCGGCTTCCTCTGGAGAGGGGGTTGTGATTCGCTCACAGGAGCCCTTGAAGGGAGAAGACGAAGCTTTTACGGCGGAATTTACCTCAGGCAAGATGGAGCGGCAGCAATAAAAAAGAGAGCGAGCGAGGAGCGCACCCGGGAGGGCTAGGAAGGGCAGCCTGCCGCCCCCTCCCCTCCCCCGCCTCCCACCGCCCCTCAGCCCTCCGGCGGGACCTGCCCAGCGCTCGCAGGATTGTTCCGCGAAGGCGTGAAGGCGGTGGGTTTGTCCATGGAGGCAGGCACCTTTTTCGATCCAGTCGAGGAGGAGGATTTGCTGTGCTCAAGACCGGAGTGAGAGAAGCACCGAAGCGAAACTTAAAAGGATTCTTGCCCCTTCGGAGCACAGGCGATGCGCCTCGGGTCGCCCGGCGCCGCCGCCGCCGGCCGTCCGGCTTCGCCCTTCCCGGCAGTCAGGAACTTGTTCTGATCCTCGGCGCCCCTCGAATCCCCGCTGCCCCCCCGTCGGCACCCTGGATATGTTTTCCCCCAGACCTGGATATTTCTTCGATGTCGTGAAACTACGGGGGAAATAACTGCGGGGCTTTTTTTTTTCCCCTCTCGTCTCCGTGCTTCTCCCCACGGACATGCCTTCACTTTGGGGCGCCGAGGCACCCAGTCCTGGGCAAATGAACACCCCCAGCCGCGAGGGAGAGAAATGAAGGGAATTTGTGCAGCGGAATGAAAACTCTGCTGCTCGGTCCTCTCCTCTGCCATTTGTCCTTTCAAGCTGCATTGTAATACGGGCCGGAGAAGTCCGACGAGAGCGAGGACTGTCCTCCCGGCCGCGTTTCTCCGCCCGTATTCACTTTCCGTCTTTCTTTTTCTCTGCTCTCCTTCTCGGCTGACCCAGGGATGACTTCGTCTCCGCGGCGGCCCCGGCGGGTGCCCTCGCTGCTGTGGACCTTCCTGCTGGTCAGCGCTGCGGCCGGCGAGTCGCCCCGGGTGGCGCGTCCGGGCCGCTTCCCTGCGGCTGACGGGGAGCGAGCCCGCAGAGGCCGAGGCCTGCGTTCGCCCTTCGCCGCGCGTCCCCTGATTGCCCCGGACCTGCGCGCCTGTCCCGGTCCTCCCGGAGAGCTGACCTTCCACGTTTTCGTGGAGTTTCAAATCCCCACACCGCGTATTCCCCACCCCCACTCCCCCCACCGGGGCGGGGGGGAAGAAAGACACTTAGGGTGTGGTATCTTGACATTTTTAGCTGTGAGGTAATGCAGGGATTAAAAATAATATTTTAATCACCAGCGAACCGTGCCTATTAGGAGATCTTTGGGAACAGACCTGTAGATTTTTTTTTTTTTTTTTTTTTACTATAAAGGAGCAGATTTGGCTGTAAGTAAAAAGGACATCCACTGTAGAACACACACCTGAATCTTATTTTTAGATGTAGATCACTCTTTGAGAATCCCTGGTGCTTTGATTATCCCAAAAAATGTTGAGGAAGGCAGAATTGAGAGTCTTAGTACATTGTATACTACTGTTAATCGTTTTTATCATTATTTTGTTTTGAAGTATATTAGTAATTTTGATCTTTTACGTCTGGAAAGTCATATTTTGTATACTTTTGGAATTACTTTTGGGCTTAGAAGTGTTTTCGGTAAGTTTTCCTTTAGTCATCTGGCTTTCTATTGGCTTTCCTGTCATTGAGGCAACTTTGACCTGACGTCAAGACTTCTAGGAGATTTGAGTCCTGAAAGTTCTTTTGACGTTTTACTGAAGCTTAAAGGGAAATCCTTTCTTTAGGATATTTTGTTCTTAGTTCTCAGACACCTTTAGGAGAAAAAACCTCGTTTCGTTTGCAGTTACTTTTCAAGTCTTTTGGTGATTTGCTTTTAGAAATTTTAGGGAGTGAATTATGCATATAATTCTTAAGTTGGGTTTAGGATGGCCAGATAGATTATACATTTAAAAGTGAATAGAGGACAACATAACACCTTTCCAGTTATTTTTTCTTAATAAGTATAATTTTCGCATTCAATAAATTTCTCAATGCTGTGTTAGATATGGAGATTTCATATTTCCATTTGGAAAACACTGAAAAAAATTTTGAACTTTTGTGCTTTTAATATTGTTGATTGATGTCTACTATGTTTATGATAGTTGTGTTAAAATAATATGAACTTCTGAATTTATTTTAACACTGATATTTTAATATTACTAATTATCACAGTTTCTTTTGGGGAAAAGTGAATGATTTTTCTCTAGATTACTTTATATTGTGTTACCTCTTTAAATTCTCTAGTATTAAGCCATGTGGTTGGTCCCTGTAAAATATGAAGACAGTGAAAGGCCTTAAGTTTAAGCAGTCATTCTAAGAGCAGAAATCTCAGAGCATACACTTTTCAGTGTTGGTTTATTCTTGACTTTTCTACAACACAGATTCTAACTTATAGTTGACAGAATTATCAATTTGTGATTAGAACTGATGAAAGTAAGAGAAAGATCAATTGACTTAAAAAAAAAAACACATGATTTCTGTCTGGTAAATGAAATATTAGAATAGTGGTCCTTAAAGGGATAGATTAAAGTAATCACTGTTTAAAAGTGATTTTAGTCATCTTTTTTCTTCAGTATTACTAACTACCAGATGCTAACATTTGTGAAGTTGGATTTCAGATCTGTGACAATAACAACAACAGTATTTACTGAGTGCTAGCTATGTGCCAGGAACTGTTCTAGTAGCCTTAGATGTATTTTCTTATTTGATCCTCATGACAGTTCTTTACTCCAGGTTCAGTTATGGTCCTTTTATAGAGAGTGAAGTACTCTGTGCATCCCCATGGACGTTAGCCCACCAGGCTCCTCTGTCCGTGGAATTCTCCAGGAAGGAAGACTGGAGTGGGTTGCCATGTCCTTCTCCAGGGGATCTACCCCACCCAGGGATTGAACCAGGTCTCCTGCATTGCGGGCAGATTCTTTACCATCTGAGCCATTTGGGAAGCCCGGAGTGAAGTACAGAGAATTTTAATAACTCACCACACGGTAAATTGTGGAGCTAAAATTACAACCTGCACCCTTACCTACCATGTTAATGAAGGCAACAACTTCTCAGTCTAATTGGGAACATGAGATAGAGTTAGTGTCTTCAGATTAACCTTTGAAAAGAAGCCGGGACTCTTGACAGGATCTTAGTACCGCACTTCTTATGCAAATGTCATGGTTCTAAATGTGTAAAACTTTGCCTAATATTGGAGTGGTTAGTGCAGTTTCATTAAGTGTAAGGTAGCTACAGAGGGCCTGTGTGAATTTGGGATGTACAGATGCAATGATGTAACTAGACAGGTGCACATGGTGCAGCTGAACAGGAAAATAATACTGGAAGATTGACATCACATCCCTCTATGGGGTCATGGATAAATCCTATTTTTTTGGGGTCCCTCTTTCCCACTTATTCTATCTAGTTCTTGGATCCTTAATTCTAAGAAGAGTTGGTATGCAGAAATTAGAATTTATAGAAAATACATGCTTGTTTGGTTTGTAAATGAAGTCTTAATTTTAATAAAAGGATGCGATATAATGTAATAAAAAAAAAAAAGAAAAGAAAAAAATGTTTGAGTAAACAAACATTTATTTCCCTTGGACTGAATGTTCATGTTTTCAGTAGATTCTCAAAGAGATTCTGTAACTTTTTCTACACCTATCACATAATAAGAAACCTCAGTCTAATTAAGTATCCAAATAGATACCACGCAGACTGTTAGAAGCTTTCATGTTATTTTATTGTTTCATCCTTATAACAGTCATGTGACATGGCTGTTATTAATGTTTTCATTTGTGTAGCTTGTGAATGGTCTCTCTGAATTCACAGTCTCTTTCTTCAATACTTGACGCATCAGATATCATCCTTATCTGGATTATCAATTATGGACCTGTTAGACACTTTTATGTCCCCCACAGTGATAAACACGCAGCTACTAAGCCAAAATGACAGTACTGCTGCTGCTGCTAAGTTTGCAGCTGCAACAATGTCGAGGTTGGAATATTAATGATCTAGGGTCCCACACTCAAATCTCCACGATTCCAGCTCATACTATAAATGAGCAGATGAAGCCAAGTTTAAAAACTGAAGGACATTGCAGGGACTAAGGTGAATTGTTGAGTGGGCAGCTCTATTCACTTCTAGCCAACTAGAAGGAATACAGGAATACAGCCTGAAGGAATACAGAGACACTGTTTCTAGACCTTCAGACCTTAATTTCTCTTTAAAAGTACCGCATGGGTCAGATAGAACCATCCTATCAACAGGGTCTTGCCCTTGTACTTTTGTGTCTTGGTTTTGTGTGGCTGATTCCATCTTATCTTATAGGGATGACTGTCATCCTGTTTTTTAAGGCATATAATTAAAAGTTTTATTAATTACTAAAGAAGTCAGAGTTGTGGCCTGGTATTCATCAGGCAGGCTGGTCTAACAGAATTTTTCTTGATTTACAAGGTGATTCTGGCTGGTTAATTACAATCATTGAAGGCTTTAAGAAAGAGAGGGGATTTGATTTGTATGTTTGGAAAATCATCTTTGTGGTTTGAAGATAGTACAGATGTGGTGTGTTAGGGTCCCCTTCAGTAGAGGCTGGAGAGGCACAGTGTACTGATGCTAAAGGGAAGGGAATAAAGTAGACTCACTTGACAGGTTCTGAGACAGGGCCATTAGGATTTGCTAAAGAACTGGATGGGGCAGTGAGTGAGAGGTGAGAATTTATGGGGTATATATTCTCTCATCAGATTATCTATGTTCCAATCCTACCAACTTAGAAACAGATAAAGATATTTAACATTTCCATGCTTCCTCATTGGATTGTTAGAATGATTAAATAAACTATTAAAAAAAAATGCATGCGCATGAGCCTAGCAAAGTGTGTTTCCAAATCAATGTTCCCTATGAGCAGGGGCTTGTGGGACTCCAAGCTTCCTGTCTTCAGTCGGTGATGCAGTGGTTGGCTGTGATTTAGCCAACCAGTGGTTTAGCCAGGGGTCAGTGTTTGCAAGGCTTTTGCTTTTCCCTCAAGGCAACAAGATGTCTGCTGTGGTTTCTTCCTTTACCTCAGTATTCCAGATAGAAGAAAATATGTAAAAAGAGACTTTTGCACCTCTTGTCAGGAGAGAAAATGCTTTTGCAAGGGTGTCTAGGAGATATCTGCTTACTTATTTTACTAGAGCTTTATCAGATGATCAGTCTTAACTAGAGATGTGGCTGAGATGTTAAAAATTTATTTAGATACCTTTGCAGTCCGTCAAACTGAAGATTCTGATAATGAGGAGAACAGATTTGGAGCTTGGATAGAGGATTTGCCACAGACAGAAAGAACATGAAACCCCTTTATGCAGTGTTTTAAAAGGGATTTTGCCACTGGGAGACAAGAGTGACTAGTTCATCTATGAAGTAATTTTTCAGCGATTGGGTTCTATCATTTAATCTGGCTCATCTTCAAGAGCAGCATCATGTAGTTAATTCAACATTGTCATTGGGCAATAACATTAGCAAACAAATCAGCAAAATAATAAATACAGAGTAATTGCATTAGTCCTCTGCTGGTTAAATGTTGTAAGATGTCTTAGTATACATGTAAGCATTTATTAATGCAAGGCTTTATTCCAACTCCTCCCCTCTTTACCACCACCTCTTCTACCCCCAGTAACATAAATACCTATGGTTAGTCATTTATGTAATTTTTTTAATTCATTTACTTACAAATTATTCAGAGACATTAATGCATTATGTTTCATTTCCTAAGCAAATTGTAAGTGTAATGACTTCACATTTTCCTTCAGTCTAATAGCCATGTGTTAGAATGTTTTTTTGTTAAGATGTCAGCTTATTTTATAATACATACTATTATCACTTATACTATACCATATAATTTATGTATTAAAGTAATTATTATAAATTAAATTTGTATTAACTTGGTAGATTGCTGTGCACAAGAGCTAGGGACTAAGAGTCTTAATTTTTATTGAAGTTTTTAATAATTAATATTTATCATTCAGCAAAAGTTACAAACACTGCACAATATTCAATATAATCCTTGCCTCATTCAGCAAACTTCTGAGAGAAAATTAAACAACAAAAAAAAAATAGAAACTTTTCTACATAAATCCTTTTAGAAATGGAGAGAGAATAGTTGAAATCCAGCTGAGAACTTTCAGTAAGAGAATAATTTCCCCAAATCATTTGACAACATGTAGACTGAATTGATATTAATGTGACTTTAAACAAT